AGAGCATTTTAAATATTTACACTAATAACCGAAGGAAAAACATGCCATTGGGTTTGTTGATTTCTGTTTACCCGCGCTTTGCTGCCCAGCACCGCGCCTGGAAACTGGAAAAGACTTCAAAGCGAGGCTACCGGGAATATATTATGGTCTAGGAACGAGTGTTCTTTCTCTCTCGCGATCGCGAATTTCCACCAGGTATGCGAAAACTTCCATGAAAAATCCGTCTGCATCGGCTTCAGAAAAGGCGCTTTTAACCTTTTTACTCTCTTTCTCAATAAAACAATAACTGTTCTTCACTTCTGAGTAGTTATATGTTACCTTGTGCCTGGTAAACTGATTTTCATGGCAATTGTTTTGAAACTTGTGTTGACAACAGTGTGTTTCATGTACCAGGGTTCAACATGGTGCGAATTAATGTTTTGAGCGACGCTCTCAACTCCATATGTAATGCTGAAAGACGTGGAAAGCGGCAGGTTCTTCTGCGACCTTCCTCGAAGGTTATAATAAAGTTTCTGACCGTAATGATGAAACACGGTAAGTGTATCGGAAGTCTGTGTTTTTGCCTCTTCTGTGGGTCTCCTGAAGTTTTATTCGAACCTCAAAAATATAGTTATCGGAAGCACGTGCCATATTACGTTGTGATTGTGTGAGAAAGATTCAACGAGAAAACATTTCGACCTGGTGAATACGTACCAGTTGTTAAAGAAGACTTTTTTTATTTATGTAGCCTGGCATTGTTTTTACTGTAACTCAAAGCCATTTTCAGAAACTGCAGATCTCGATATAAACTTGGATTAATTTAACAATCTTTCACCGTCCTTTGTTTATTTTAACGGATCACATGGTTGTTTGTTGTGTATTGATGTGTTACAGTCGTGTACACTTATAACCTAAATCTTGCCTTTTAAATGATGTTGAGCATTTGGAGGGAAAACTTCTGCAATTTGCATGTACATGTGACTAATTTAAGATTATTTGATAAAAAGCCAGCTAAATGGGGAGTGATGACCAGACAAGGTATGATATGGGAGAATCCATTTTTCTGGTNAGACTTCAAAGCGAGGCTACCGGGAATATATTATGGTCTAGGAACGAGTGTTCTTTCTCTCTCGCGATCGCGAATTTCCACCAGGTATGCGAAAACTTCCATGAAAAATCCGTCTGCATCGGCTTCAGAAAAGGCGCTTTTAACCTTTTTACTCTCTTTCTCAATAAAACAATAACTGTTCTTCACTTCTGAGTAGTTATATGTTACCTTGTGCCTGGTAAACTGATTTTCATGGCAATTGTTTTGAAACTTGTGTTGACAACAGTGTGTTTCATGTACCAGGGTTCAACATGGTGCGAATTAATGTTTTGAGCGACGCTCTCAACTCCATATGTAATGCTGAAAGACGTGGAAAGCGGCAGGTTCTTCTGCGACCTTCCTCGAAGGTTATAATAAAGTTTCTGACCGTAATGATGAAACACGGTAAGTGTATCGCAAGTCTGTGTTTTTGCCTCTTCTGTGGGTCTCCTGAAGTTTTATTCGAACCTCAAAAATATAGTTATCGGAAGCACGTGCCATATTATGTTGTGGTTGTATGAGAAAGATTCAACTACAAAACATTTTGACTTGATGGATACGTACCAGTTGTTAAAGAGGACTTTTTTATTTATGTTGCCTGGCATTGTTTTTACTGTAATTCAAATCCATTTTCAGTAACTGCAGATCTCGATGTAAACTTAGATTAATTTAGCAACCTTTCACCTCCCTTTGTTTATTTTAACGGATCACAGGGTTGTTTGTCGTGTATTGATGTGTTACAGTCGTTTACACTTATAACCTAAATCTTGCCTTTTAAATGATGTTGAGCATTTGGAGGGAAAACTTCTGTAATTTGTATGTACATGTGACTAATTTAGATTATTTGATAAAAAGCCGGCTAAATGGGGAGTGATGACCAGACAAGGTATGATATGGGAGAATCCATTTTTCTGGTATAAACCTCGTGATCCATTTCTGGTCATCTTACCATTTCGGTTAGCCAATCATAAATCAGGAAATAGTTCTTCTTGCCTTCCTGTGATGCCTTTGAAGCTAGCCATATGAATAGTCCTCTTTATGTCCTGTGGCACATAAGGCTCTAAAAAGGTAAGGTTAAGTCTCATATGAGCCACGTGGCCCATCACGCCAGAGCTTATCCCAGTTTCTGTAGCATGAACCAACTAGGAGTATTTCTACTCTCCCCTGGGTGGGATGCTTTTCCATTGCTGGGGTACCCCCAGCTGTAATCATGTGGAAATTCATTTGTAATCTAGTGTGATGCAGTTTGGTTTTAATAACTCCTTGGATTTCTGGCAATGACTGTGTATCGTTGTTGTTTCAGGTTATATCGGCGAATTTGAGATTGTTGATGACCACAGGGCAGGCAAAATTGTTGTGAATCTTACAGGAAGGCTAAACAAGGTACATACACTTGTACTTACATGGCCCAAGTTGTTGACAGGATGAATAATACTATTCACCATATAAATTACCATCAGTTGAATAGTGTAGTTTGTTTTGTTTACTCTTATGTATTAGACAGTGATTTAATCAGGATAGTGTTATCCACACTTCGAACTACTGGGGCCTGACCAAATAGACAACTACTTTCCTCCAACATTTTGTTGATTAATCTTATTATTTTAATTGTTTAGTCAGNAGTGTTTGGTATTAGAGTTTCCAAATAATGCCATTACTAGCAGAATTTGCATTCATTTCTCTCTGGTAGTGGAGTTGGGAAAAAGGCTGGTGTTTTGATGCCTTGAATGCCTTTGTTTCTATGAGTGTTGTGCTGTTTGTTGTCTTGATAAGGTACAAGTTACATGGGAAAGGGTAGAGAGATACATATGGAATTTTATGATTTAATTCTCTGAAGAGTTCCTCTGAGACACACATCAAGCAACTCTTGCAGTGTTCTTGTCCAGGAGACTGCTGGCCAGCTTCCCAGATTCATCCATAGCTTGAAAACCACCAAACGTATAGATTACTTATTAAAATGAGAACTGATAATTTAAGATAACGCAGGACTGAAGGGTTAATTTGTAAAGTGGAAGACGTGGAAGAGTGCTTGCTCTTTAAACCAATTTTATTCGAAAAATAAGGAATTTTTCAATGGATAGACAATATCCTGTGAGCCTGTTGTCGTGGGGTACGTGTTAATTCCATACATGTTTTTGCAGACTGTTAAAAACCAAATCCATTAAAAATGATATTTTGGTTTGCAGCTACCTTGTCATCTCAACGTCTAGTGGCATTATGGACCATGAAGAAGCCAGAAGAAAGCACACTGGTGGAAAACTCCTAGGGTTTTTCTACTAACCGAGATTATTATAAATAAACAGACTGTTTCTGTGTATTGTCTTGGTTGGTTTGCATGCGTGTATACTTTATGCACATCAGCTTCAGGGGTCTTTTGAGAAACTTCTGAGGTTATTCCTTAATCACGTTCAGTGAGACCTTCTGCCCTCGGAATCGCTTTTGAGTAACTGCCTTATGATCACAGGTCCAACTTCACACTAAGATAATTATTGTGAGCGACGACTTCAAGATTAGCGGAAATCAAAAACTGTATGATAGAATTAATGGCACTTAACTGTGAAGTCACACTGACAGATTTGTCGCTTGAAGGGATTTTTTGAAAGAAAGCCACCCTGGACACGTTTTAATGTCCTCGTTGATCTACGTTACATACTCACCGTTCAAATCATTTATTACAGTTTAGTCTTACTTTCTGACGTTGAAATGGGGAGGGAATATGACGGGAATTACAACAGGAAGTTTTTGAGCCCACTACCGACATTGTGCTTGAAGATGGACGTAAAGAAGTCTTCTCGTCATTCTTTATGCCATGATCTCTAGTGCGGAACTCACGCTCGCGTTCTGTGTAGTCTGCCATGATCGCGAAGTGGTCCCCTCGACTCGAGGGAAGAGGTCCTTGAACTTAACTATCCATAGAATCCTGAAATAAGATGGCAATGTACATTCACCCATAATTCTTAGCGCAAGAAAACTATAACGCGCATATAAACGTAGAGAAAAGTTCCAACATCTTCAAACCCTGGCATACACTATGACGTTACCACAGGGACAAATAGTGCTAAAATATGGCTTTCCTCGTACTTCTATGGATAGTGTAAGGTTCGCATGGGTGGTAACATGCGAACCCGTCATTTTATTACCTACGGAGAAGTTACTCGTAGTGCCGAGCGGAAAAGAAGGGTAGTCATGTTTTGCTCTGATTTCTGCTTCACCTATCGACTTAAACAGGTGTATGCAGGGAAACACCAGTTTGTGAAAACCTGCTTTCTCCCATCCAAAAAAGACAAAAAAGTTGCATTCTACAGTCTGAGAGCATATTAATTTACAGTGAGCAGGTGTAAACCAAACGCGTGTGATGGTGGGTAGTTTCGCGTGCTCTGTTCATACATCCCCTTGAACTTTCCATAAATGCTTCCGGCTTCCCCGTAGCATAAAAAGCAAAAAATGCACGTCTTGCCGGAAGCACGAAAAAAAAAACGTGGTCGGTGGAAAGCTTATTACTTAGCATTTAAAAATGAATGATATTTCCGTTACTTAACAAACTCGACCCATGCTGGAAACGTATAAGTTGTTAGCGTCTGCGACGCAGGCCAGAAACGGCAGACCATTATAAATTTCTCGCAAAATTAAAAAACACGCGTACTATTATCATTAGTGGAATTTAAATAACAGGTGTTATGCACGCATGAGCTCCTTGACAAATTACCTGTGTAACCATATAAACACGCGTACTCAAGACATTCACCACAGAAACTACCACGGCAGACATGATTGCCGACTGTTTTTTCCACTTGATCTTTGTGCTAGCTTCACTTTCCAGGCATCTTTTCACTGTAACTGAAGCCCTCATGGACGGAACAACGAGTTCAGAAAAATATATCATAAAGGACTGTAACGGCATTCAGTATCGCTTGATGGTGGACCTAGGTTCGCCGCCATTCCCGGAAACTGCTTGCGATGTTAAGAAGGTTAGCAACAATGTCATGAACACCCTCACGGTTTATCTTAATTTCACTGAATTCTGTTAGTTTAGTTAGCTACTTTATGTTCTGATCAGAGATTTTGAGTTATTTTTATTCTGTTGCAATGACAAGTTTGTACGTACGATAACAAGTTTCTTGTAAGTAATTAATTATTTGGACAAAAAAGGTTGATTTCCAAGAAGGTTAGTCGAAATATTTTCCGCATAAAATGCCCATCTTATTTCTTGTTCATTCTGCCTCGATTGATAACTTCTATCTACAGGGAAGATATTTGTTGTTGAAATAAAAACTGTTCTTGTTTTGCAAATTTTCAGGCCATGAAAAGAATTCTTTTCAATTACAATGAGGTGCTAAACTGAGGTGCTAAACACATGTCGATACATGAAAACGACATGTTGCCCCTTTGAACTTTGAGTATGAGGGCGATTACACAGTCACATGGATATCATGAATCGATACAAATGTCTAGTAAACTGAGCAATCAAATCGATATGGTTGAAGGGTTAGGACACCAAATGGACCATCGCTAAATATCAACATTATGGCCATCTTTTCTAAATTTAATATACAAGTAGAACATTGCAAAGGATGCAAAGAATTCGGAGAGCGAAGCGGGGCGGGGTTATCGCTTCGTTTGCCAAATGTTTTTTCTTTTTTCGCGCTCGCCGGGAGCCTGTTCGAGCAGGCTAAAGATGCTGTTGTTGTTGTAACTCGGGAAATAATTGCATCTCTATCTTGTATTTTTTTTTTTTTAGAAAGTGATACAGTGTTTTGAAAGAAGCAAAGGTTTAGGATCTCTGCTGGATCAAGACCGGTTTCTTCTACTCCAGTCTGCGATAGTAGACAAAGCACTAATGTGTCCCGACCTCGAGTATCACGAACTAGAGAAGACTATCCAGAATTCAGGTGAGATGGTGATTGTCCATAGTACTTCGCATCCAAGGTCGTTTCCAGGGCTTTTCTCACTCTCTAAAGGATCAGCCCTGGGAACGAAGTTGCTTTGCATCGGGAGACCTGCCCTCTAGCATAAGCCGTGGGATAGGAACCAGCGAGATGCTAAGGCAACCTGATTAAATACTGACGGATAAATAAATAAATAATAGCCTCCATTTGGCGCGAATTTGTCCGCGGACATTATCTGTTCTCAGAAGCGAACAGCTTTCTCAGAGCGTACAGTAAGGTGAAGCTTTGAGGAACAGATAATGTCCAAGGACAGATATCCGAGCATACTTTCACTCAGATATTCCCAAGTTTTAGCTGGGGAATATTCAGTCACGTGATGCGTTTAGACCAATCGCGTGCGAGCGAAAATATTTGATGGATTATAAGGTCTAATACTGATCATAAATCTCAATCCTTGATTATGGCTCCAGGCTGTCCTGAGGAAGCCAGATACCCGGATGGTCTACACAATAAGGATTAAGTCCTGTGTGAGTGGAATCTGGGAATCAGATCAGTGGGCAACGCCGCATTATAAACAAGTCTCCGCATGGTTTGAGTCATTCTTGTCCCCAGAGGCCGCGCTCCTTTTAGTCAACACCAAGAATCGCGACCTCTGATCTGGGAAGGTCCAACACTGGAAATCCGCGATTTACGGACTTCCCGTCGCTCTGCGTATGCTCAGAGTCAAGTCTGACAAATCTGATTGGCTGAGAATACGAAACGAATTCTCTGCGCATGCTCAGAAAATTGGACCCTCCCGGAGGTCGCGATTCTTGGTGCTGACCAAAAGGAGCGTGGCCTCTGGGGACGAGAATGAGTTTGAGTAAGCATATTAACGAGGCTTTAATTATTTTCATTACTTTTCAGCGATCGTTCAGGACTTGTTTGATAAATATTCAGCAGGTAAGAAGCCGACCTACACTTAAATCAGCTGTATTCATTCGAATTCATGCAATAGTTTAAATCTTTAGAGCTGAATACCTCTGTGACGTATCCGAGACAAATGGACACTTTTCGTCTCAGACCACGAGACCCGAGAACGATTTTGACGTAGGTGAAATATCGAGGCAAAGGAATTAGGCAAGGGCTATTGTAGACAAGGAAGGTTTTAGACGGCCATTCCAGATAGCTATGTCTTTGCCTTAATTCATTGTTTCTGTTGAAGCAACACCGCAGGTACCTGAACAGTGCGCTGTCGACATTCACAAGAGTTGCGAGAGAACCATTTTTGATCAGGTGGTTGTTAACCATTTACCATGGCCCAAGACAACAAAGCGGAGCCGGTGTTATAAGAACTTTCTGGAAAAGACAGGGTGTAGATCTTCAATACTGCAAAATTACGCCCTCATGCAAGAGGAATTTGGGGAAAAGTTAAGAGAAGAAGAGTACAAGTTAGGTCTTTATGGAATTTTTATGAACGACCATAACAAACAGGCTTCAATAGAAATACTATAAAGTATTTTTAAATCCTCTCTAAGCCTAATAATAATTATAATTATAATCATAACAATAACAATAATAACAATGACAATAATAATAATAATAATAATGAGTAATAATAAAAAGTGTGAAATATCTGAGTTACGTAGGGTTAGGGTTAGGTTTTAGAGTTAACTCCTCTTTAAGCCTAATAATAATAATAAAAAACAAGGTATGAAAATATCCGAAAGTTTTTTTTTTTACCACAATTGCTGCTAATCTCGCAATCTGATTGGCTAATTTGCCGTTGTCGATAAGAGTCCCTACCACGCCGCTCGCGTCAATGTGTCGCGCAATGCCTTTTTCAGCTCTCGCTGATCTAAAAAAAACATTTTCTTTTACGTTGATGTTGTGGTAAAAAACAAATCGAAATGTGGTTTAGCATGGTCTCAACTCTTACCGACAACGAATACGCGTCCTTAATCTTTTCCCGAAAAGTCTGACGCGTACAAGTAGCTCATTTGAATAATGCAGCGCGTGCACTTTAAAGTCCGAGTCGGTGTTTCCAATCCGCAGTAGGAAAAAAGATGGCGGCTGTACATTTTACCACAATACCATGCGAGCCTAATACAAGTACAAGGAAAGCCAGATTTTTGCGATATTTGTCTCTGAGCTAACGACATTGTGTATGCTAGGTTTGAGGATTTTAGAACTTTTCTGTACGTTTTTATGAGCATTGTTAAAGTTTTCGTGGACTAAGAATTATGGGTAAATATACCAGTCGCCATCTTTTTTCTTACGGAGGATTGTCAACAAATCTTGACAAAGTTTTCTTTCGTTATCTTTGATATTGTGGTAAAAAACCAATCGAATGTGGTTTAGTGTGGTCTGTACTCTTATCGACGAGTACGCGTCATCACAGTGGTCAAAATTTGTTGCGGACTCACTCGGCTGCGCCTCGCGAGCCCACAACATTTTGACCACTGTGATGACGCGTACTCGTTGTCGATAAGAGTACAGACCACGCCAAACCACATTCGATTTGTTAAATTGTAGATATTTCACACTTTGTTTTATTTTTCAATTTAGTTTTACCTGTTGAAAGTATGCAAGTGGATAATATGATGAAAGACCTATGTAATATGTATAATGGTTTTACTACTGTACGGGAATGATAGATGCAAGGAAAAAATTTTCACCATATATTGCGAGCTGCCTGGTCAACGCGCCGTGTTGAAAATGTTAACACCATAATAATGTCACAGGAGAACCCTGCTGACGTCACCAGCATACTGCTTTACAAATATTTTTGAAATATTTTAAAGCTCTTTAGAAAGAGCTCGTAAAACCTAGCAGTTGGTGAAATGTTTAGCTCTTTGAGTGTGATATTCAAACGCTTGCAGAAACTGAAGAATGTCTGGGTGGTATATCTGATCAGAAGCATATCACCTAGATAGGTGATATGCTTCTGATCTTATATAATTAACAATTAGACTCGTGGCCCTTGAGGGCGAAGGGTCTAATTGTTTTAGTATCACCCAACTAGTCGGACAGA